AAACCCACTCCTTTTACGAGAGTATTTTCAAAAAAGTCCTGCCTGCCATTCATGCGAAACGGTGTCAGATGTTTCTGGGGCGTTCCTCTTGGCTCCCTTGTTTTGTCACATGAATACATGCTGAGAAAAACCGTGAAAAAGCAGAGAGAAAGAATGAAAAACAGGAAAAGCAGAAGTTTTCAGGGAGTCTAAGAGAACACTATCAACACGCTAGGGTTTTTTTCTTCAGTATGTAAGCTACCTCTAAATAGGGCCCACATGGGTTTTTACTACAAGTAGTGCCAGCAGGCAGTAGTCCTCACTTCTAAAGGAAGATTCAGGTTTGGTGGTTAACCGAAGATTGTAATGCTCCACCGTGGCTCGCCATCGCAGCACAATATCACAGGATAACAGAATGCCTCCCATTTCAACACCACGACAGTCTTTGCAGATGAACGCAATGGTTAATTCTTCCCTTGTAGCTCAGAAGTGTTATTGTATATGTGAAAAAACCTGAAGAACGCTGTTATTTGACACACTTGACAACTTGACTGGGTTAGCTCTGATGTGTTGCTTCTGTCTCTGATGTGTTGCTTCAGTCAGTATCGCAGTGGATTTATTTTATTTCCGGTAAAGCTGTCTACCTTAACGTTGTGTTTGATTTCAAGCTTTCTCTGTGTCAGGCTTGATTTACTTCGTCAAGCTACTGTTTTGTTGTCTAATTGTTCTGTTAATCTAAGCCCAGGGAGTTCAAATAATGAAATATTCTCTCAAAGGAAGTCTTTGAAGCAATAGAGGCCTCTTTGAGATGACACATGAAAGAAGCTTCGCTTCAACACCATAAAAACTGGCTGCCCGAGGGACGCGACTTAGTGTACAACCTACATGTACTTCTCTGTTGTGTTAGTAGGCCTATAATTCTTGATTTTCTCTCTCTCAGCACTGAGGGAACAGCTCTGTTTGTGGCAGGAAACCTTTCTTTACAATTAACAGCAAGTCAATGATTTTTCTGTGAAAACTTGTTCTTAAATATTAGTTTCTCTGAATAACAAAAAGTGCTACTATATTAAGAAGGTGACTAATCTTTTTGTTCATTCGTATTTTAGAAACTTCTGGATTAAGGATATTGCATTGAGCAATTTAACTAACAGCTTTATAATGTTTATCTAAATAATGTGATACAAGTGTCTGATTTATTTTGCAAGGTGAAATAAGACTGCATTTTCAGCCATTAAAACATCTATCTATCTATCTATCTATCTATCTATCTACCTATCTATCTATCTATCTATCTATATCTATCTATCTATCTATCTATCTGTCGATTGTTAGAACATTAGAAAGAACAATACAGTATTTATATATATATATATATATATATATATATATATATATA